CTATGTTTCATATACCTATAATCTATACTTAAATGGTAAATAATACTTAGGTTATTTAAATGAAGTTCACCTGATTGTTTTATTAGATGAACCCGGAGGTTGATTATCGGCCCCTAAGAAAAAGGGCTCCACGACAGGTTCGATTACTACGGGGTTGTGCCTTGAATTAAAATAAGATAAATAAATTATGTTAAGCTATGTAATTATTTTATTATTAAAACTATTTATTTTTCGTGTAAATTTTAAATACTTGTTTTCGTTCCGAATTCCAAAGAGCGCTTTCATTCGAGAACTCAGATTTTTTTTGTTTGATAGCTTCTTTGATGTATATCCGCGCTTTTTATTTTTTGATGGATCCATTTTACGGTAAAAAATACGACGAGTACGTAATAAAACAAACGTTTAGTGAGAAATTTTGAATTTAAATTATGACGAAATGATAATAATTTATAGTAAAACAGTGACTTATATGTCTCGATTACGGGCACATAGATACTAACTAAAAAGACATTTGTACACACTACACATAAGATATTTATTATTTGAATTTTTAATATAGTCTAAAATAATATACCTAGTCTATATAGTAGTCTATCGTTTCGATTATTTTTATTACTTTACAGTCTTTACCCGCAATTATACGCAATCATAGGTACGCAATTATAAATATCTATGGTTATTTAAAATTTAAATTGTATATAATATACCTACCTTCTAATCCATGATATTACTATAATACTATGTACATAATATTATCACGACATTTCATTAAATAAAATCATATTATTAAAACAATTATCATAAGCAATATTGATGCGACGTCGTTAACAACATTGCATGATGAAATTATAACATTATAATATATATATAAGATGAGGTAATATTTTAGATTTAAAATATCATATATGATTCTGTTGAGGGGTGGTGATCATCTCAATATTAGTGCAGCAGTTCATAGTGTCGTTAGTGTTCTTTCACAGTTCGAGAACAAACCAAGTTGAATACACGTCGTAATTAATATAAACAAACGGAAACTCTAAAAATCAGGTAAGTTATATATTTATACTAATATTATAATACAATAATTAAATGGTTTTTGAAATTATTTTTAATTGTAGTACCTAACTCATTCGTAATTTTAGATTCTGAGTATTGATCTTACAATGATGTGTTTTCAACAAAATCAATTTAGGTTTTTTATGTGGCTCTAAAACAAATCATCGTAGATGTATGAAATTTTCACTAATTGTTTATACAATGTACTCTCTGTAATTTAAACCTTAAATATCGAAATTAAAATTGTGTATAATATTCATATTTTGTGGTTATTTTAGGTAATCAGTCAATATGTATTTCATCCAAGTACTATTTATAGTCATTTCTTACATCATAAATGTCACTCTCGGATTTATTGCGTATGATTGTGGAGGGTCGAATCTAAATATCACTTCATTTGACAGCTTAGAAGTAGAAAAATGTGATATTCCAACACCAACAGAAACGCAACAGATACAACGAATACAATTATTGCAACACATTGAAACATATCCAGTTATGTATAAATCATGTTTAATATCTGTGGATTATCTTATAACAAGATGCTCAGCGTTTGAAGATGCGCAAGTGGTGGATGGTGGATACTTTTCTGACATTATCGAACTAGGGAGTGCTCGATGTTCGGAGGTCCATCAAAAACAATCCTATAATTTTCCACTAGGAGGTGTAGTGACAGACTTAAAAATAAACGAAACAACATATGTTTCAAATACAATGGTAGGGTCACTAGATAAGCATGGCAATTGTAAGGGCGCAATTTTTAAATCAAATAAAGGGGAATGGGAAAACGTCGTTGTCCAAGCAAAATTTAAAATATTGCTATCGGAAGGTATGGCTACAGCGAACACTAAAGATAACGTCCTTATACTTCCAACAGGTACAAAACTCAAATTATCAGACAATTACGGCATTGATGCTTTTAAAGGTGAAACCATCTGGTCAATCAGTAACATAAACTGTGAAGAACACGATTTCAGTGTCCTATATGATGGGCCAGCGTCATTAATTACGTCAAATACTATTGATGACATTTCAAATACTTACACTTATATTGTGGAGACTGACAAAATAGTCTTTGCTTTAAAAAAAGTTAAAAAAAACCTTCGCCTGCACAGGAATCCCAGTTATTCAGACTGAACATATGCAGTTATTAATTTTAACAGAACCTACATTTCTTAATTATTTTACACGAAAAACTATAACAGCTCAAAACACTGATTTATTAGCCTACATAAACACTAAATTTGTCTATGTCGAAAATTTCTTTAAATCAACGATTACATCGTTGTACAATGATTTAATACTAAAACGATGTGAGCTAGAGAGAAAATTACTAGAGCAACGACTCACATTAGCGTCTTCTAGTCTTTCGGAGTTTGCGTATTTAATGGGCAGTGGACCAGGGTTCACGGCAATAAAAGTCAGTGAAATAATTTATTTAATAAAGTGCAAAAAAGTTAACGTTGAAATATCATAAAAAAAAAAATTGTTTTAATGAACTACCAGTGTTATACAATAACAAAACATTATTTATGGCGCCCAAAACACATATTTTACAACAATTTGGAACACAGGTGGACTGCAATATACTTCTACCACCTGCATTCGAATTGGGCGGTGATTGGTTTGCCATTCTACCAAACATACAAGAAATTAAGAAACCACAAAAGCTTAAACCAGCCACGTCCTGGACATGGTCGTACAAAAGTCCGGATTTTCTTATGAATGCCGGTATATATACAAAGGACACAATGAAAGCTTTTCAACAGCATATATTGTTCCCGCAAGAAGTGAAAGCTGCCACAAATAATTTAATCAGACAATCTATGGGATATGATACGACTAATCAAGGTCTGCAATTTAAATATTTGATAGACGAAAACACGCTTGGAAAAATGGTAGAAGATAAGCTATTTAAATTATGGGGTTGGTTTACGACAATTGGAACTTTTGTGTCTGGGTATATTCTTTGTTGCAAAATTAATATTAACACTTGTTGACACAGGTATTAATATTACTTTTTTATATCAAACCTTTGGGTGGAGTACAAAGCTTCTAGCGGGATTTTTTTCAAGTATCACCCATAACTTAATACTTCGATCTCATAAATACAACCATCCTAATGATCAAGAGTTTGATGAAGACTCCTTGGAAATGAAAAACTTTCAGCGTCATAGAAATAAATTAAATATTTACCCAAATCTAAATGCCATGGTTTAAAACTATCAAAATAAAAAAATACTTGTATTTTTATTTGAAATTGAGTACCTAATAACAATATATTTGTATCAAATGTATATTAATTAATATTTTTATTTATTCTATTTGTATACAAATTAATTGTGTATGTGACTTTAAATAATTGTTACAGATGATTTTTATTAATTGTATAATAACAACTCAAAATAAATACGTAAAATAATTGTATAATGTTATATATTATATTTTCTTTCATTTTTATACACGTAACTACTTATGCATTTTTTACATTGATAATAATATGTAGATAATATGACATTTCATTAAATAAAAGCATACCTATACATTATATTATTATACATTGGTTATCCGCATTTTCTATGAATACTAGCATCAATTTAAGTTATTAATTATAATAAATTGTAATTAATCTAAATGGTGTATTTTAATTAACTATATAATAGCTCAATCAAAAGTGTTCTGCACATGTGTAGGTACTTACATAATTTAATTTTAATTTATATAGATTATAATATTATATATTATATTATAAACGATGAACATTTTAAGTGTATACTGTCGGTTTTTTGTACATAGGTACATACTATACAGTATACATACGGCATTGCAAATTGCAACAATAATTAAATAATGTGAATAATTACCTATAGTCTTTATTTAAAAGATATTATAATATGTACAGCAAATAACAATCAACTTCCTAAATTATGTTTTAATTAAATATAGGTACCTAATTACATCAATATATTTTATAACTATAACATTGTACTAATACGTATGTCGTATATAATAATTATAGGAGATCAAACAATCGTACGAAAAGTACTCCAGGTCACCAATAAGTTACAACGTAAAATACGCGACATATTTAGGTACTACAAAATCCATTTAATCGTAATGAAACTATTATTTTTTATGTATATAAAAAAGTAATTGGGTTAGAAAAATAAATCGAGTTATGGTGTATAATAATTTGTATGCTTTATTTATTGGTTAATATTTTTAAGCAAACAGGAACTTTAATTAAAAAATAGGTCGCGACTTTTGTACCGCATGCTAGTACCTACATAAGACATACATGGGGCGGCGATCATTTACGGAACTGCGACGCGAAACGTTCTAATCGACCATCCGTGAAATAATGATGTACCGCTCCCGCGATTACGACGCGCGAACCTTGTCGCGTAGACGATGGGCGTGGTTACGGCCTACCGCGACGGCGGCATACGGCGCACAACGCCATCTCTTGAGCGTTGTATATTTTTCACTTCTACTAGAACAGCCTCTTAAGTGTTTCTATAATCCTTGCTATTTCTTCCTGTTTAGGTTCTCCAATATCAGGTTCTACAGTGTAATACGCCATGTCTTCGTTTGTGATACCTTGTCCTTGTCTGTTTAATAGTGTTTCAAAGTGCTTTTTAAACAGCTCTACTATTTCTTTTTTGTCCGTGACTAATTCTCCTTTCTCATTTAATAGCATTTTTACTTGCGGTTTAAAACCTTCTTTAATTTGTTTGCTGTTTTCAACGGATTTTTTGGGGTTTTTTCTGTTTTCTTCAATTTCTGCTATTCTCGCCTTCATATCAGTTCTTTTTTCTCTTCTTAATAATTTGTGGGTTTCTTTTCTCCAGTTTTCATATATGATTTTATTTTCTTCAGATGGATTTTGTAACAATTTCTTTCTAAGTTCAGAACGTTTCTTTATTGCGTCTCGACACTTATCATTAAACCATCGTCTTCCTTCTCGTTTTGGTGCATTTCCAATAACCACTGAAGCGCAGTCTGTTATGATTTGTTTTGTTCGGTTCCATTGGTTTTCTATATCCTCAGTCGAATTCTTCCCATTGTTTTTTCCTATCTCCTTCTGTACTAGTTTTTCATACTGTTTTGCTATTTCTTGGTCTCTAAGCATTTCAACATTGAATTTCGAGTTGTTCGTTTTTGATGATCGTTTCCATTTCGATGATAGTCTTATTCTGAAATGGGCTATAATCAAATAGTGGTCGGTATCCGCATCTGCACCTCTGTAACTTCTCACGTTACTTATACAACTAATATGTTTTTTACTGATCATAACATGATCTATTTGGTTTTTAGTTAATCCATTTGGGGATACCCATGTGTGCTTATGTATATTCTTTCGGGGAAAATAAGTACTACTGATCACTAACTCTTTTGACATTGCCATGTTTATTAATCGTGTTCCGTTGTCATTACTATATTCATGAAGGCTTTCCTTACCTATCGTTGGTCTATACATAGTTTCCCGGCCAATTTTAGCATTAAAATCCCCTAAAAATATTTTGATACTATGTCTAGGTAGTCTGTCATAAACTTCTTCTAATTCCTCATAAAAATTGTCTTTTTTTTCATCTTCTTTTTCTTCAGTTGGACCGTAGCAAGAGATTACTGCAATATCGAAATATTTTCACTTTAAGATTATATAACATATTCTGTCATTTACTGGTTCGAAGATTTTAACGTGCGGTAGTAAGCAATCATGCACTATGATGCCTACTCCATTTTCTCGTGCTCCATTATCTGTTCCACTGTAGAATAAGGTCATATTTTCTTTAGTTACGCTTCCTTTATTAGGCCATCTAACTTCTTGCAAAGCTAATAATTGTATTTTTTATGATCTAACTGTGTCTAAAACATATTGCAGTGCACCTGGTGTGTTTAAAGTTCTAACGTTCCATGATCCCAAATTTATTCCATTTCCTTGTTCCAGTTGTTTATCCATTTTATCAATCCATATCCGAGGCTTGTTTTTTGGTGGTTTCTTAACCAAGGTGTTTTTTACACTAAATGGGTGGTTAGCCCATTGTAACAACCCCCAACCTGGAGGACCAGACTACCCCAACCAATTAAGGTCAGGGGAGGGCTATTGCGGTGCATTTATTAAGATGCACCGGGCGATGGGGACGCCACTTTCCCTACGCCAATTTGTATAATTTTTTACCATGCAAAATATATACAATGTATATTATGTCATAGTACGCGAGTTTTTTTAAACAATTATGGATCGATGATATGGAATTTTGTTAAAACAAAAAAAGACGTGTTTCTTTATTTTTAACAAGCATTTTTTTTATAAGATTTTCAAAATTTTGAAACACGCAGATGTACCAATAATAAAATCGACTTTATTTTTTTCAAATGGTACTTCCTAACCGCTATATTTTTTCATGGCTTCTGGTAAAGCTTTTTGTCTGAACATTTTGACAGTCAAATTATCAATTTTAGTTTGCTAGGTTATTACCTATTAACTATAGTATATATGGTCCTCGAAAGTTGAATATAATATGCATTAATACTTTTAACTGAAATACCTAATTTACAAGAGCTAGATATTTTTTCTTATAACTACCTAATACCTATATATTATACTTAAATAGTTGAATCAGTAATCGAAAATGCTCAGATTAAAAAAACATAATCAAAATTGTGTTTGCCAACAAACTTCGTTATTTATAGTCATTTTTCGTGATATAAAATTGAAAACAATTTTATTTTATAATTGTTATTTATTAAGTAATAATAATTTACCTACTACCTACTTAAATATATATATTTCTTTTAAACTGTATTGGACGGCGGACGCGTTAAGAAAAATATCATTTTGGGGATAAAGATGGGCCCCGGGCACATAGGGGGGTGCTTGCGGGTGCTAAGCACCACCAAGCTTCAAACTAGCGCACTCAATTTATTTCAGTATTTTACCAATCATTTATAAATTATTATGGTTTATTGGTTCGAAATTTTTCTTTCCATTACAAATATTGACAACTGTTTACGAATTCACGATTAAAACAGTATTGTGTGAATGAACGTTTCAATGTTTCAGTTTTTGTCAAAACATTAAACAATAAGCAGCAATCATATTATATCATATTATTATAGAAAATTATATTATCTTACGGTTCACAGTTGGGTACGAAATGTTCTATTTATAACTTTGGTTATTACTTGGTCTTTACTAATATATTTATTTATTCTGCAGGGCGCGGGCTAAATTGAATAAATTCGGAACGACAAATATTATTATGAAGATGCTACACCTTCATGTGTGGTCTCCGTTTTACAAATGTAAAACATAGTAAAACGGCTTGGGCTGATAAGTCGATAAGAACCACTCAGTTTATAGTTCAAGTTATGCAACCTCCTAATGTTCCTACTAGAAAGAGGAGAACATTGACTGTGCAACATTGTTTTTAATATTTTGATATCACAAATACGAAAAAAGTTCTTATAGTTTAAAAATGAAAAATGTCAAATGACCTAATTATTAGTTAATCGGAAATATAAAAACAATGTTACACAGTAAATTTTCTCATTTTTATAGTGTGGATATTTTAGTTTTTTAGCTTAGAGTACAGCCTGAGTGGTTTTTATACAGTTTTATACAGTTATTCCTATGTTGTACCTACGTTTGTAATACGGATTCAACACATTTGGGTGTACCTATAGCGTCTTCTTTACAATCATACAGACTATTTGATTCATTGTCATTAACTTATTATTATATACAAATTAAATCTAATGTAATGCAGTTTATTATAATATTAGGATTTAGGGGGGTGTGGGGGGTAAGGCCCCACACTGATCTATGAACCATACATTATTCCAGCATCCCCAAAATTCACACCCAAAGTGCGCCTATGGCCCCGGGACCGTGCCACCCTTGCCCCC